GGATCAGAGGAAGACCAAGGTGACAGATTTTTCAAACCACCTTCTCTGGGTCTTGATTCTTTACCCTGGCACAACAGTAGAGACTCCATGTAGAACTAGGCCCAGAGAATGTCTCTCTCTAGCTGTACTAATGATCAGTAGAGGCCCTAGTAGAGAGTTAGGACTGATACTCAATTTGCCCCATAGTAAGAGGTCACTCCACAACCAACCTACAGTGCCATGGGGACCATGCGTCCTCCCAAGCCAGGTTGGCAACAACAGAGGCTAGTAGGAGCATAAATCCACTTCCACCCCAGCAGTATTGAGGAATCCTAGCCTGGTATCGAATAGAGGCCCATGATGTAACTGTACTTTCTCCACCAGAGTGGTGTCAGAGGAGACCTGCCAAAATGGAAGATTTAAAGAGGATACGGAGTCTAATAATACTTGAAATGTCCCAATCACACAGATTCACTCATCATACCAAGAAACAAGAAAATCTTCAACTTGAATGGAAAAATAATTCACAGTTTGCCAACACATTGAGATGATGCAGATGTTAGAATGCCCAATAAGAATTTTAGAGCACAAATTTAAAATATGTATAATACATATAAAACATATATATGTATATTATAATATGAACACTGAGAAAAGAAAAAAGAATAATCAAATGGAACTAAATAATACAATTAACTGAAATAAAACTCAATGACAGGTTCAATAGCACAATGGCAGGGACAGAGGGAAGAACTCTTTGTGAACCTAAAGGACAGAATAATAGAAAACATCCAAGTGAACAACAGGCTAAAATTACTATGGACTGAATTGTGTCCCCCCAGATTCATTATGTTGACACTCTAACTTCTATATGACAGTATTTTGGAGATAGGCTTTTAGGAGGTTAATTAAGGTTAAAAGAGGGCATAAACATGCAGTCCAAACTCAATAGAACCAGGTGGCCTTACAAGAAGAGAGCTGGCTCTCATCCTCCTACCCACATAGAGGTCAGGGCATATGAGGGCACAATAAGAGGGCAATGTCATCTTCAAGTAAGGAAGACAACTTTCACCAGGACTAAACCCTGCTGAACCCTGACTTTGGACTTTTAGTCTCCAGAACTGCAAGAAATAAATTTTTGTTGCTTGAGCCACCCAAGTCTATTGTACTTTGTGATGGTAACCTGAACAGACTAAGATTTTGGAACCAAAAAGTGGATGTTGCTGTAACAAAATGCCTGAGGTATAGAAATAACTTTGGAACTGGGTAGAAGTTACAAGAGTTTTGAGGTACATACTGGACACATGGAATTTAAAGGCCATTCTGGTGAGGTCTTCGTGGCTATGAGGAACGGTTATATACAGATAATCCTTGGTATAAGGTCAAATAACTTTATATGCTAGTATTTTGCAGAAGGTGGAACTTGGGAGTAATGAAAATTAGGTATTTAGCAGAGATTTGCAAACAAAGTACTGAAGGTGCAGTTGGGGTTCTTTACTGCGTTGAGAGAAGACAAATGAACTAAACAATGGAACGTTAAGCAAGAAGGAACCAGAACTTGGATTTGGGGAATTCTATTTATATGGTGGGGGTCGGGAAGGAGGGAAATTGTTAGGAAATACTAAGGCTGTGGCTGATTAACCATTTGATAAGAGATCATGGGTGTGCCCCATGGGTTTAACCAGTCTTTTAACCTTGGCTTCAGCAGGCCAGATGGTCTTCAAACTGAAGACAAGAGGTGAGACTGCTTGCAGAGCCTTAGGAGTGGGGCCATCTTGGCAGAGCTGAGAGGCAGAGGCAGGATTTTGATTGTAGCAGGTCCAGAAGGGCTGTGCATCAAGCAAAAAAGGATTTGTTCTCAAGTCTTAAAGATCTAATGGAATCTGCCTTGCTAGGTTTTGCCCCATACTAATAGGTAACCCCTACCCAACCTACAGTGGTAGGGAGCCATGTGGGGAGTAGTAGAGATATTCATGGCCCTTGCAGCCAAGGTGGCAACAGCAGAGATCTAGCGGGGAGCTATAAATCCCACCCCAGCCCAACAGTATTGAGGGTCCCTATCCTGGTGTCAATAGAGGCTCATAATGAAACTGAACTAACACAATTTAAAGCAATGAGGCAGCATCCTCTAACCCTTTCTCCACCGAGTAGTGTCAGAGAAAACTTGCCTTTAAATAGGATACTGAGTCTCATAATGCTTGAAATGTCAGATCAATATAGAATTACTCATTGCTTAGGAAACACCACCCATTCCCTCTATCCTATTTCTCCCCTTTTGGTATGGAATGTCTGTTCTATATCTGTCTCACAATGGTATATTAAGAGGTACATAACTTGTTTTTCATAGGTTCATGAACTATGAAGGAATTTTTTCCTCAGGTGAATCATACCTCATATAACTCATCCATATCTGATTTCAGTAATATTTAGGTGAAAGTGAGCTTTAGACTTTACAAGTTGATGCTAGAATTAGTTAATAAGACTTTTGGAACCATTGAGATGGAACAAATAAATGTTCTTTTCAAGCATGAACATGAGTTTTGGTGGGAAGGTACAGGGGTGGAACCGTATGGACTGGGCATGTTGTATGTTGCATGTTAAAGGCCCTACCCCTTAATGTGACTTTACTTGGAGATAGGGCTTTCAGGAGCAATTAAGAAGTGAGGTCTTAAGTGTAGGGTTCTAATCCAATAGGATGGTAGCTTTATAAGAAGCCTGTATTTGCACTAAGGAAAACCCATGTGAAGATCACATGATGAACCAGGGAGAGAAGCCTAACTAAAAACTGAGAAAGATGACATCCCGATCCTAGGCTCTCCATATTTCTTGAGTCACATAGTCATTTGAAATTTGTGTTACAGAAGATAGGAGGCAGACTAAGATAAAAATAGACTGGGAAAAAAAATGAACAGAGTTTCAGAAACTTGTGGGACTACAAGAAAGATCTACAATTCTGTCATTAAAATCCAGAAGGAGAAAATGTATTACAAAGAAATAATGGCTGAAAACTTTCCTAAATTTGGCAAAAGATATAAACACAAATTAGATTGAAGAAGCTCAAGAAAACCCAAACAGAAATCCAAAGAAATCCACACCAAGACCCTCAGTGAAACCTGAAAATCACACTCACCTCAACAATGGTTCCAATAACCTTCAAACTTTCAATTTCAAAAAATATAATATACAAAGATGTCATCTGCCTCTACCCAAGAGTAAATGGAGAAAGGGCAAGTATTTCAAAGTCCTTTTCAAGTTTTTCATAATCTAATATGCAATGTCAGTGCGAGCCTACAATTAAATTTAATGTATAAAAAAATTCAAAGTACAAACTAACTACCACTGAGGTAAATCTTTATAAATAACATTCTCAGGAAACTCAGCTTAAAAAATGGATTGCATCAAAGGTCTCCTCTGTATCCTAACTTTCTAAGGATTTGACCCTTGGGCTTGACATGATTCTTAGTAAGGCCCACATCTCAATAGCAAAGCCTGTAGGACAAAAAGTGCAGAAGCAAAACTCTAGGCCAACATTCTTCAGCTTCAGGGTAGTTGCCCCTCACAGGAACTCTGCAACTGACCAACTAAGAAGTCTAATAGTTTTCCTATACTTATGAATACTCAGTAGAGTAGTTATCTTAACTAACACTTCTTCAATTCATTATCCCCAACTCTTTTTCTCTATTCTTTCCATCTATCATCTTTGTGGCCTTGTATTTAAGGCTGAAGAACAACTTCTGTTCCTCCCTCACTCCTGGCTCTGGACAAATTCATTGTGGATTCTCAATCTCTTATTTTTTCCCCTGCAATTTCCCTGAAAGAACCACTAAGCTCTTTAGAACTCTGTCTCTTAGCATTATGAGACTATCTACTCCAGCCAAGATGTTTTCTTTCTACAGTAGCACACATGCCCTACTTCTTTCTCAAGGATTTGGTAGTTTATGTACACATTATGGTGTTAGAAATAAATTTCCTTTTCCTCAGGGAAATTCAGTGTCCTCCATTAGGACATTTTAAAAAAATGCAAAACCACCTTTTCACAGTCTCTGAGAGCTATATTCCACATCAATAATGACATCTCAATAATTTTTTATAAGTCTTAAATTTTTTATAGCCCTCATAGTATGTATGGTAAATGCTCAACAAATACGTTCTGAATGCATATTTATCCAGTGTGGATTCTCTTTTGTTGGCCAAAGGCTGAATACTCACTACAGGCTTGTCCATATTCCTTGATTTTCCCTCCAGCATGAGTTTTCTGATGCTGAGAAAGAGATGAACTCTGGCTGAAGGCTTTTCCACATTCCTTACACTTGTAGGGTTTTTCTCCAGTGTGAGTCCTTCTGATGCTTTTGTAAGGGATGAGCTCTGGCTGAAAGCTTCCCACAGTCCTTACATTTATAAGGTTTCTCTCCAGTGTGTGTTTCTTGATGACGAAATAAGGGCTGAGCGGTCACTGAAGGCTTTGCACAATCACTGCACTTATAGGGTTTCTCTCCAGTATGAGTTCTCTGGTGCTGAGTCAGGGCTGAACAGTAGCCAAAGGCTTTCCCACACTCATTACACTCATAAGCCTCTCCCAGTATGAGTTCTCTGGTGCTGAATAAGGCCTGAACGGTCGCTAAAGGCTTTGCCACACTCGTTACACTTGTAAGGTTTCTCTCCAGTGTGAATGACCTGATGTTGAGTGAGGAATGTACTTTGGCTGAAAGCCTTCCCACATTCATTACACTCATAAGGTTTCTCTCCAGTGTGAATTCGTGATGTTGAGTGAGGTATGAACTTTGATTAAAGGCCTTCCCACATTCGTTGCATTCATAAGGCTTCTCTCCAGTATGAATTATGTTGATGCCGAATAAGGGCTGAGCGGTGGCTGAAGGCCTTCCCACATTCATGACACTTGTAGGGTTTCTCTCCAGTATGAATTCTCTGATGCAGAGTAAGGTGTATGCTCTGGCTAAAGGCTTTACCACAATCATTACACTTGTAGGGTTTTTCTCCTGTATGAATTCTCTGATGCAAGACAAAAGCTGAGTAGTAACTAAAGGCTTTCTCACACTCATTACACTTCCAAGGTTTCTTTCCTGCACAAATTCTCTCATGCCTAATTATATCTGAATTTTGTTTTAAGTTTTTTTTCAATGAATCACGATTATGGTCTCTTTCTTTGTTGTTGAACAAGTAATGACCGCTGCTTAAATTCTTCTGAATTCATCCATTGGTAATTTCTCTCCCCAGAAATTTCTTCTGAGGGACAATCTCTTGTATCAAATGTTTCTTCATGGTTTTTCTGTTGGCTTTCTAAGAGTCTTCACATTCACTGGAACCTTCCACTGGGAAACCTTTCTATTAACACGCCAGAGGTTGATTCCTCTTGGAAAAGTCCTTTTCTGGAGTTAGCTCCTTGCTTTCTGGATTGTCTTCCCAGCTGAGAGAAGCAAAAATACACAGTTATCATTTCTTATACTGAGAGAAAATAACTTGCAGTGGTAGAGAAATAATAAAATAAACAAAAACATGCTTACAGGAAAACACATGAACTTCAAAGCTCTCAAAAATAGCCTTTGAGAGGACATGAGAAAACTAAGTAACTGGGCAAAGAAGTTACAGTTGTGGTGAAGGGAGAAAGTGAGCCTCTATGTTACTAAGTGGGGGATGAAAAAGAATAACAGAACAAGATGAAGCAGAGGTGATTTGGGGAAATGGCAGACAAAAACGGGGTGTGGAGGTAGGACTGAGATCAGAAAAAGATCGGTTCTCTGAGGATTAGTCACTTGTACCATCTCACAGAGCCCCTCCCAATTTGTGCTGCAAGACAAGGTCAAAGTTTAGCTGATCTCCTGGCCACTGATTTTTCTACTCCATTATGTCTCACTCACTAGTAGTAACAGACCTAATTTTTTTCAAAGCCAAATGCCTCGTCTACAAAGTCTCTGTTGATACTGTTAAAGATGAGAACACCAAAGTTCTAACATCTACATATTCAAAATCTATCATAAAGGCTTAGTAGTTAAGGATGGCCAAAATCATTTTGTACTTTTAACATTAACCCCACATCCCAGCAAAAATGGAAAGGAAAATCTAGTAGAATTTAAAACTTTAAAAGAAGAGAACTGGTGGAGTGCTCAAGTGGCTTAGAGCTGCTTGCCTAGCAAGCATGAAGCCTGAGTTCAAAACCTCAGTGACTGAGATTCCAAGATGCAGGCTAGAGGAGGAAGCAGAAAGGTGTCCTCAAAGTAAAATCTTGGAGAGACGCTGGAGATACACCTTACAGGAAAAACCACCTGAGAAGAGGCAAAACTTTGACTCTCCACCACCTCCAGCCTGCGCATAGCATCTTCACTTCACGTTAAACGGAGAAACAAGGAGGGCTCCCATGCCGTCACCAGATGCACACCCGACGCTTGAAAGACGCAGACTACAAGCTAAGCGGCATGCGGTACTCCCACAGACAACCCTGGGCCAGATCAGCATATAGCCCCTGGACAGACCAACCCCCACCCAGGGAAAAAAGAAAAAAAACTGGAATAATAGCATAACAACAAAAAAGACACGTAGCAAAGAGGCGTGGGTGCCCTGAGCCTGAAGAGGGGGAGGGGAAATCCTCCCAATAAACAAGCTGGCTGGAGAAGGCAGGAGCAATGGCACACGCCACAACCAGGAGCGGGAAAGCTTGTAAAAGTGAGTGTGGGAGGAAAACTCCACAGGAGAGGGGGAAGACCCACTTCCCATGAACTGTAAATAAACATGCAGGCCTGAGAAAGCTGGTGCAGTGTCACCTCCCCAGTGTGCTTGGAAAGGGAAAGCTTGTAGCAGTGGCGTCGCGCCCAGGAGAACTCTGAGTAAACAAAGCCTGTAGGGCCAGGTGAGTGCTAAGCTCACTCCTGAGATCTGCATAAATAAAGCCTCCAGCAACAGCAGGCTGACAGCAGTGGGCAGGTGAGCCGCAGCCTCAGATAGCCATTCACAGAACTGTCTCCAGACTCTTTTTTTTCTTTCTTCCTTTGATGAGACAACAACCAACTAACCTGCATGCTGAAAACTTACTGAAACTGTATTGCATTTGAATTGGGACACTGTGGTTTTTTTGTTTTTGTTTGGTTTGGTTTGGTTTTTTCCCCTTTGATGAGACAATGACAGAACTACTTCTGAGACACCATCTCCAGGATTGGAGGCTGAGGGACTAACACCAAAATTATTAAGACTGAAACTTTATTGCATTTGAACTTGGAGATTTTTTTTTTCATTTTTTATTTTTTTTTCAATCCTCTCTCTGTCTCTCTAATCCTGTTCAGCTTACTGTCGATTAGTACACTATCTCTCCCTGTTTATATCTTTGAAACTTTTTTTTTTTGTTTTTTCCTACTTGTATTTGTTTTTCCCTTTTCTTTAACTTCTTTGCTTTCCATCTCCTCACCCTTCCATTCTAAATATCACCATTGTTATTACAAGCTAGAAAATACTTAATTGCACACAGTACAGGGACAATAACAACACCAAGGCAATGATGGGAAGACAGAAAAAACAGGGAAAAGTTTCCCACAGCAAAAAATTAGTACAGGAACCAGAGGAAATGAAGAAAACAGATACTCAGATCCAGACTCCAACAAAATGAAGATAAACTATGCCAAAGAACCCAATGAAGCCACAAGAAAATCAAAAGAAGAAATCTACAGGTATCAATGAGAATTTTATAGAGATGATACTGGATATGGTCAACCAAAATGTACAGGAGACACTCAAGAAATTCCAAGACACAAAAAATAGAGAATTTGAAAAAGCAAGAAGAAATAAAAGAAACCATAGAAGCACTGTATAAACACCAAAGTGAAACAAAGAACACGATTAATAAAGAGATAAATGAACTCAGGACAAAAATAGACAACATTAAAGAGGAAAACCAGGATATGGAAAACCTCAGAAAAAAGAACAAAACAGAAAAATTGCAAAAAAAAGAAGGCCAATCCAGCAGAATAGAAAAACAGAAGACAGAATCTCAGAACTTGAAGATGAAATGGTAATTAAAGGAAAAACAAGAACTATTAATTAAACAACTCAAGACCTGTGAAAAGAAAATGCAAGAACTCACTGACTCCATCAAAAGACCAAACTGAGAATCATGGGCATTGAAGAAGGAGAAGAGTGCAAGCAAAGGGAATGCGTAATATATTCAACAAAATAATAACAGAAAATTCCCAAATCTAGAGAAATCTATTCCCATACAGATGCAAGAGGCCTCCAGAACACCAAACAGACCAGACCAAAATAGAACTACCCCAGCATATCATCATTAAAACAACAATACAGAGACGAGAAAGAATATTGAAGGCTGTAAGAGAGAAAAAAAATAACATACAAAGGTAAACCCATCAAAATCACAGCAGACTTCTCAACAGAAACATTAAAAGCAAGAAGAGCGAGGTGTGAGATCTTCTGGGTACTGAATGAAAATAACTTCAACCCCAGGATACTTTACCCAGCAAAACTATCATTCAAAATAGATGGAGCAATAAAAGTCTTCCATGAAAAGCAGAAAAAAAAAACAATATGTGACCACAAAGCCACCACTACAAAAGATTCTTCAAGGGATTCTGCACACAGAAAGTGAAACCCAACTTAACCATGAAAGGACAGGCAGCACCAAACTACAGGAAAAGAAAAAGCAAGAAAGTAGAGAGTAACCTCAACTTAGGTACACACAATCAAACCTTCAAACAACTAAGACAACTAAATGACAGGAATCACCACATACCTATCAGTACTAACACTTAATGTTAATGGACTTAATTCACCCATCAAAAGGCACCATTTGACGAAATGGATTAAAAAGGAAGATCCAACAATTTGTTGCTTACAGGAGACCCATCTCACTGACAGAAATAAGCATAGGCTTAGGATGAAAGGCTGGAAGAAGATTTACCAAGCCAATGGCCCCCGAAAACAGGCAGGAGTATCAATACTTATCTCTGACAAACGTAAGACTTCAAACCTACATTGATCAAACGAGATAAAGAAGGACATTCCATACTAATAAAAGGGGAAATAGACCAAAAGAAATAACAATTATCAACCTATATGCACCCAATGTCAACACATCCAATTTCATCAAACATACCCTGAAGACCTAAAAGCATATATTAACTCCAACACAGTGGTTGTGGGAGACTTTAACACCCCATTATCATCAATAGATAGGTCATCCAAACAAAAAATCAATAAAGAAATCCAAGATCTAAAATATACAATAGATCAAATGGACCTAGTTGATGTCTACAGAACATTTCATCCAACTTCTACACAATATACATTCTTCTCAGCAGCCCATGGAACCTTCTCCAAAATAGATCATATCCTAGGGCACAAAGCAAGTCTCAGCAAATATAAGAAAATAGAAATTATACCATGCATTCTATCTGATCACAATGCAATAAAACTAGAACTCAACAACAAAAAAAGACAAAAAACATGCAAACAGCTGGAAACTGAACAACTCATTACTTAATGAACAATGGTCATGATGAAATAAAAGAGGAAATTAAAAGTTCCTGGAAGTCAATGAAAATGAAAACACAACCTACCGGAACCTATGGGACACAGCAAGGGCAGTCCTGAGAGGAAAGTTTATAGCCATGAGTGCATATATTAAAAAGACTGAAAGATCCCAAATCAATGACCTAATGATACATCTCAAACTCCTAGAAAAACAAGAACAAGCAAATCCCAAAACAAATAGAAGGAGAGAAATAATAAAAATAAGAGCTGAAATCAATGAAATAGAAACCAAAAAAAACCATACAAAGAATTAATGAAACAAAAAGTTGGTTCTTTGAAAAAATAAACAAGATCGACAGACCCCTGGCAAACCTGACTAAAATGAGGAGAGAAAAACCCAAATTAGTAGAATCAGGAATGCAAAAGGGGAGATAACAACAAACACCATGGAAGTCCAGGAAATCATCAGAGACTACTTTGAGAACCTATATTCAAATAAATTTGAAAATCTTAAAGAAATGGACAGATTTCTAGATACATATGATCATCCAAAACTGAACCAAGAGGAAATTAATCACCTGAATAGATCTATAACACAAAATGAAATTGAAGCAGCAATCAAGAGTCTCCCCAAAAAGAAAAGTCCAGGACCTGATGGATTCTCTGCTGAATT